ATGACAAAAAGCAATCCATCCTTTCCCTTGTCAAGACAAAATCTTCTTATCTTATCTCACTAGCAAAGGAGTTCAAACCAAACATTTAAACTGAATTAATTATGCTTTATACATCCCCAGAGACAGCTGAGCTGCAGAGAGCCAGCTCAGTCAATGTTTGGAAAAGAGAAATAAAAACTCTCAACCCCTTCAACCATTCCTCCCACTTTTCTGGTTTAGTTCTTCTATAGTCTCATCACTGGAGGTGGAAGGAGCATTGGCCAGGAAAAATTTCAGAGAACAGCAGTAAATAGCCAGAACTGGGGTGACTGGCTGAGAAGAGCATTCCTGCTGATGTCTCCACAGAAGAGCATTGTGTGACCACCTTTGCTTTAGGCTGGGATGCTCTAGCACAAGTCAAAGAAAGCACAGATCTACAGGGGGGGTCTTTCAGTCTGCAGACCAGTCTTTGAGCATCTCTCTACCTATGCAGTCACACTTGCCACATACACAGACCCCTTCCTCTGCCCCACAACTCAGTCTGCCCCAGGTCGTTTTGACTTCCTGGGTTCCACAAACCAGTGGTGAGTAAGGCTCTTACATTGGGCCCTGACACCCTTTCTCAACCAAACATAATAATTTGTGAATTAATTAATCCACTTGGTCCACATGGAATTGAAAAGGGTTCTTTCAAGTTTTCCCAGAGGTTTTAAGAAGACCACTAGCCTAAGAGATCATCTCCCTCTCATATCCCATGTCAGGATCCCAGGATTATGATAAAGTGAAGATGCAGGAAGACTCCCAGAAACAAGGCAGCTTGGGAGACAGGCTACTTCGGAATGCTGGGAGAAGCATTTCCAATGCAGCTATTCTACAACATATTAGGGCCCAGTTTTTGGTTCAAGTAATTAATACACGATTGACAAAATGTGTATGACTCTGCCCCCTTCATCAGCTGCATGAGGTAGGTGGGAAGAATACTCTCCCCATTAGAGGAAGAAAACTGAGGCTCAGAGAAGTGCAGGGACTTGCCCAAAGCGTGTGTGTGTGTCTGTGTGTGTGTGTGTGTGTGTGTGTGTAAAAGCTAGAACTGGGTCTTCTGGCCCTTGCCACAAACAAAACACAGCTTTAATTTTTCTTCTGCCACTGACATGAGGTTTGACCCCAACATAGTGTCTCACGTCCGTAGTGAATTTTTCATCTGAAACATGCAGGCTGCGCCTAAGCACCAGTTTGGCTCTAGAGACTGCCCAGAAAGTCGGCATGGACGGGTGAAGTGGGAGATCAAGGCATTCTGCCGCGCTGGGGGCTGATATCTCTGACTCAGAGACGGGCAGGGATCGCAGCGGCCTTTCTGACCTAGGGCAGAGCTCCACCGCAGCACCCCTGCCGCCTCGGACCGGGAGACGGCGTTGGACTGGACGCTCCGAATCAAGGGACTCCAAGTCCAGGCTCTCCAGCCCGCACTAATCCAGAGCACCCTCTACTTGTCTGCATCTCTAGCGCTCACATACGCCAATGACTGGATGTGCCCACCAGGTCAGTGTCCCCCTGAGTTTGGGATCCCTGAACGCAGAACACAGAACTGAGCAGCGACTCTCCAGCACCGGCGCGCGGCACCCCCGCCGTTGGCCGGAGAGTTCCTCCTGCGCCTGCGCAGTGCGCGTGCGCGGTGAGCAGGGATGCGCGCGGTGGGGCGGGGATTAGTGGGCGGGGCGAGTATGCCGCGGCCGCTGGTGCCCCGAAACTCCGCGGCCAGGGAGACACAGTTCTAAACCACCAGAGTCGGGAAGAGGACGCTGCTGGGTGCGGCCCTTCACTCAGGACACCTGCCAACGCTTCGGGTCTGCGGATCCTGTCGGTGGGACTAACCGATTCCTGGCACCTCCGTGGGCAGGATTCGTGGGGCAGGGGCGGGAAGTGTGCTTATCATCGCTCCAGGAGGGACCCATCTGTGACGTCATAAAGCTACGTAAATGGAATGCCGTAGTAGACACCTGGGAGCCCTGGCGCCGTAGCCCGACGCCTGGGTGACGTCACTGTGTCCGCGGGAGGAAACCGTGACATCACAGTACCGCAGTGCTCTGGGAGGTGGGACGCGAGGCCTTTGAGCCGGCTCTCGGAATACCAAGATTCTAGGGGCCTTGGGAATCATAGGTCCCACGTTCCTGGAGCTGAGGTAACATCAGGAGCTCCAGATCATTCCACTGTGCCCCCCCGAACATGTGAGCAGTGAATTATCATCAAGGAGGTACACAGGAAAGTAGTCTTTAGTGCGCCCCAACCCCTAACTACATGCTGGAAGGAGGAGGTGAAACCTGAACCTCTTTCTCCTAGGAGGAAGCCCCTGCAGGCTGTTCTTTCTCCAGGGCGCGCCTGATCTCTTCCCAGAATGAGCACCTGGCAGCTCCAGGCTGCGTGCGCCGAGGGTCTCTTGTGCCTTCTACGCGTCCTGCGGAGAAGTCTGGCCAAGGCCGGCTAGCTACCCGACCCGTGCACGCAAACCATAGGCCCAGCAGCTTTGGGAAGGACCCCAGCTGAACTCCAGCCGCCAGGTGGCCGGCCTCTTTCACTCCTGAAAACTGGCCCCAGCCACGCCGGGCGCCAGAGACAGACACTAGGACCAAAGAAGCTTTTCGTGGTGGGGGGGCAGGATGGGGAGAGGCGAGGAAAGCTGCGGCTTTCTAGGGATGTATGGGAAAAGAGTTGGGGCAGGCAACTCTCAATTGCACTTTTTGTGCGACCCATGCTGAGTATGAGCAGTAAACTGGGACACCATATAGATTTCCAACCGCATCGCCTGGGAATTGTTGCCTGCGAGGGGTCCCGCCTGCCTTTCCACCTGCAGTTGCTGTTTCTACACAATCTATGAATCACTACAGCGAGCTACGAGCTACGCTGAGAAGTGGTTTCTGGGTCCACCAGGATGACATCAACCGTTGCTGGAGCAAGCTAAGGCATTCTGAGTGGGCTGGGGGTCGCCAGGCAGCACCCTGCCCCACTCCCTACCCTCCACTGAAAACTCTGCATTGGAAATCCGTTCTTTGGAGGATGCACACTCGATATTGAACGTCTGTCCGTTGCAGGGCCTAGGGTGTGGTGGGGATTCATGGAGCTGGAGATGGAGTGGACCAGAAAGGATAAACATCGCTGGCAAACCTCCCTATTTCCCAGCGTTTTTGATGTCCTGCGGCCTGGTGAACTGCAGAGGGTCTATGTGTCCTGGGACGTGGAGGGGTGTGAGGGGAAAGGGGACATAAATGGTTGTCAATCCAGGAAAGAGAGAATCCCTGAAAGAGTAAAAGTCCTAGGGAGGGGTGTCTTTTCTCAGCCCTCAGCTATGCCCAAAGCCATTCTTAACGGCTGTGTCTGTGTGTCTGTGTGTGTATACCCACGCACTTTTCTCTCTTGGAACAGCCACAACCTCATAGGGCATCTAAAGAAACCAAGGTGGCCCCTGCAGTTAGCCCTAGCACAAGCCATAGCCAAGCACAGACCAACTACCGCCTGTGCTGGTTGGACCCACGCCATCGACGCCCAGAACCTTACTGACTAGCCCTTCTTCCGCACACCCAGAGGTCCCAAACCTCGGGGAGGAGGACTTCATCCTATTCTGGGCCGTGTCCTGTGGACCCAGCTGGAAGAGGGATTGGGATCTTGCCCGACAAGCAGAGATCCCTCGGGCCGGTCTAGACCCAGCAGCACGCTGTCCCTCATTCTCAGAGGGCCAGGGGCCAGTCATGGCTTTGAGGGCGAGGCCAGATATGCACATAAGTGAGTGGCGGACAGGATCCGCCGCGGAGTTTCGTGGGGTTGTTGGCAGGAAACAGCGAGGTGCACCAAGTCTTAGGCCGCCCCTCCAGTCCTGTCCAGCAGGGGGCAGCGCGGCTGTGAACGCGGAGGGCGAGGCTCGTCCGCGCTGGCACGCCCCGCCACAGTGTCAAACTGGGGTCCGGGCGGGCCGAGGAGTGCTCGCCGGCGCTGGGCCTGGGAGCATTCCCAGAGGAGGTGGGGACCCGCAGGGCAGTGAAAGGCGAGAGCGTTTTAACTCCTGCAGCCCCAGCCGGCTTTCTCAGCCCGCAGGGCCGTGCGCGAGGCCGGGATGTTGGGTCCCCGCTGCAGGGAGGCTCGGCCCAGTCCCTTCTGCGGCCGCTACGCCCGCCGCGCTGGGCTTGGGAAAGGCCACGGGCGCCACCGCCTGCGCGTTCCCGCCGTCAGGGCGCTGGAGCTGGGGGAGCCGCGCCCCGCCCCAAGCAGGAGAGCCCCGGCTGCCGGGCCTCTAATTGTGGGAAAACTAGACGCCCCGGGGAAGGTTCTATTTGTGGAGGGTGGACTCAGATTTCTCTTCCGAAGCGTCCTCGGCCTCCCAGGGCGCCCGCCCCCGCCATTCCCGACGAGGCTTTAAAACTGTAGGGAATCTTCGTCGTTGTGAAGCCCTGATCCAGACCCGGGACAAACCCCAACCAGAGAACTATGTCTAGGGGATCTTAAGGGAGGGAGAGAGAGGCTTTGGGGAGGCAGCGGTGATTGTGTATTTGCAACCGGGTGTTGGGACCGGGAGAACGGGGTTGGGGGGGACAGTGCTGTTCTGAGGCTCCGTGAGGACAAGTTCTTTCCGCCCCAAGCAGAGGCCAGTGGGGGGTGGGGGGTCAGGGGTGATATTGTATTCCCTTAGCGGACCCTAAGCGACCATGGCACTCGGAGATGCTGGCATTTCTCGCGGCCAGTGTGCTGGCCTCAGGCTCAGCTTCTTTATACACTCAAAGCCCTTTGGAGGTGAGGAGTGGGGAGACTGAGACTCTAACATTGAGGCGGAGAAGCAAGAAAAGAAATACGTGGTGGGGCAGAGGCAGACGACACTGGGAGAGAGGAGGTTTCTCCATCCATCCCAGCCCGTCCTCCTAATACGGGATGGGGGGAATGGGACAGGCTGGAGTATAGCAGAGAAATCTTCTCCTCTCAAAGAAAGCAGCAGCCCGGCTTCCAGCATTGGGGGGCGGGGGGAATTACCCATCCTGCAATGCCTGTAAAATAACCGTTTATTTAATAGTTAAAAAAGAAATCTCCAGTGACAAATGTCCGTTACCGATGGTCAGCATAAAGTGCCAATCGCAATACAACGCCCGGCTCCTGGCCGGTGGCTCCCTCGCGGGGTCGCGGCTGCGGAGCAGGGGAGCCGAGAACAGGGCCCCCTTCTGTCCCCAAGGCCGAGGTCCCTGCCCTGCCGTCCGAGTCCGGGAGCCCATGGCCGCTGCGCGACGCGAGCTGGGAGAGGACGCTCCCGGTCCGATGTCCCGGGGCCGGGCGGCTGAAGCAGATACAAGGATTACACTTTTGCAGGCTCCCGGGGCGGGGAGGACGGGAGGAAGGGTTGGAAGCTGCCAGGGAGCAGAACTTCTTTTCCTCTCCCCTCTCTTTCCGCAGTCAGAGTTACAAGCTTATATGGTCAAAGGAAAAAATAATAAAGAAAACATACAAAATAACCATAGAAAAAGTAATACTTCTGGGAGAGGCGCCTCTGCGGCTCCGCGGAGCTTTCTTTCTTTTTTTAATGCAGTTTCCCCTGTGCCACGTGAGTACCGCCTTTTGGCCAAGAGTTTAGCCGCGTCCTGGGGGAGCCGCTCGGGCGGTCGGGGTCACGGCCCCAGGCTGGGTTGCGGAGTGCCGCGTGCGCCAGGGACCCAGGGGACAATGTTGGGGTAGGGGAAGGTCCCCGAGCGCCTCTCCTGCTGTCCGCCAGAGTCGCCTTCAGGCTTCCATCCCTTTGGAGGAGGTCCTTCTGGCCCGCCTTCAGGCCCAGGGTCCTGGTGACCCAGAGACTCTAGCATTTAATCTTGGAGGTTTTGAGCTCCTTCACCTGTGTGTGTAGCGTCTTGTGGACAGCCAGAGTCCTGGACTGGCAGAATCCTTTCCCGCACTCTTGACACTTGAAAGGCTTCTCTTTGGAGTGAATATATCTGAGGGCAGAAACAGAGAGTTAATCCTTGCAAAATGATTCAGTGTTATGAAGGATTGCCCAAGATCCCCTCCCACTCCTCTGAGGAGCTTTCCCTCACAGGAAAAGGGGAGTGTGGGGTACCAAGTGTGGATGGGGCAAAATGCTGATTTGTGACTGGAGTGGGGAAGTGAAGGAGACTCTTGGGCAAGTCCAGTGGGTAAACAGGTCCAGCCAAACAGACCACCTGCCCTCCTGAGGAGGAGGGGCAAGCTCAGCCTCCTTCTCAGCCTGGTCAACCCTGAAGGTGAGTCAAGGGAGCTGGGGTGGGACAATTTGCTAGAGCTGTGCTGTCCAGAGGGTGGCCATTAGCATATGTGATTATTAAAATTACTTAAAATTAAATAAAACTACGACTCCAATTTCTTAGGCGCAGTAGTTGCACATTTCAAGTACTTAATTTTCACAAGTCACGTGTCACGTTTTCCTTCATCTCAGAAACTTCTCTTGGACAGCCCTGAGGATGTAGGAAGGGGGCTGAGGAGGTCCTGCGCTTGCTTGGAGCTCAAGGACACCTGACTTAGATTTAGGTCCTATTCATCCCAACATTTTCTCTGTTCGTGCTCCCAAACCTATCCCTGAGCCCCCTGTGGTTTCCTTCTGATTTTAGGGAATTCCCAGAAGCTCGGAGACTTGAAGCCAGTAGGGGGTCTCATGAATCTCGTTAGGGAGGAGGAAAGCGAGGCCAGAAGCAGTCAGTGAGCTTTCGCCTGGGCCACCCACAGTGCCGCACCTGTGGTCCCGTAGGTGGTCTTGCCTCCGGAAGGCTTTGTGGCAGATGTCACAGGTGTAGGGCCGCTCGTCAGTGTGCGTCCGCTCATGGATCAGTAAGTTGTAGGACTTGGTGAAGTGGCGGCCACAGAACTTGCAGACGAACTCCTTCTTGGTCTTGGAAGGCAGACGTCCCCTCGTGGGCTTCTTTTCTGGGGACAGCTTGGTCACATCCAGGAGGGCGCCCAGCCCACCCGTGGGGGAACAGGGGCCCTCCCCGCGGCCAAGTTTGGACGGATCTTCTTGCGTGGCAGCCAAGGCCAGATTGGCGAAATCAAAGCGCGGTTTGGTCTTAAGCGCGGGACCGCTGCCTCCAGCGGTGATCTCTGGCTTGGGATGGATGACGTGAGGGAACCAGGGAAAGGCCGGCAGCTGGAAGCGCGCGTCCACCAGGCTGGACACGGCACCCGGCACTTTGGAGAAAGAGGAGCGCGGCAAGTGCATGGCCGGGTAGCCCAGCGTCCACTGGTGCAGGTGCACAGCATGCAACGCACTGAAGCCATACAGGTTGGGCAGGTGGTCCGAGGGCACTGTGGGCAGGCCGTTCACAGCCTGAAGGAAGGAATAGTTGGTGAGCTGCAGGGATGGGTGGATGGGCACTGGCGCTGGCAAGGTTTTGCTGCCCATTGTGGTAGCTGCAGCAGGTTCTCAGTTTGGATCTGCAAAGAAAGGAAGAGGGAGGAGAAGAGGAAAAGAGAAGTTCAGGGTAGGTCACCTTCCTCCTGAATTCAAACTCAGCCACACCCTCTCCTCCTCCCAGGGCAGGAGCTGCAGAGTCTAAGACCCCACCCAGGGAACCCACTGCCCTCACAAGGAAGATGGGAACATAAGATGCCTGGGAGCCCTCTTTTCAAAACCCTTCCAAGGCTGAGCGCCCTCTTTGAGGACAGAGACACACAGCTTTATGAAGAAACCAGTAGGAAACTAAATTCTATGCAAAGCAACCAACTTAAAATAAGTGCCCACTGTATACAGAACACAGACAAAGGGACAAGCACAGGGAAACTGGCATGTAGAAACTGACAGCCAGGCAAGCCTGGGTCAACACTGAATTACTTCCCTGAAAAGATAACAGGAGTTGGGGAACACACACGTTCATGTGCAGATAAACAAACACAGAAATGCACACTGACAGATAAACACAGATTCACACATTCTGAAGTAGACTTGACAGCCAAGGGCCAAGATAAACTATGACAACCAGTGTTTTATGGCAGAACACTGGCTACAAAATTCAGAGACCATCACACACACACACACACACACACACACACACACACACATGGGATCACATTGCACCCATGAAGAGCTTCATGGACAACACACACACACACACACACACACACACACACACACACGCACACAATTCGCAATCCTCCTGGCTCCTGCATGTTAAGATCTTCTGGCTGACCTTCAGTTTGGCTTCCAGAAGCCAAAGAAGCCGTGTCATCTTTCTCAAAACTCTCAACTTTGACCTCATATTTGCTTTCCTGCCTTACTATTAGCGAACTCTGTTGGCACTGCCCTCTCTGCAGTTGCTTGTAGACTCACTCCCTACCATAGTCTTTGGGAATTGCTTTTGTTTCAAGGAGAGTGCTGACACCCATGATCATGTACTCACTCAGTCAAACATCCGCACTCACATACAAGAGGGCCTCAGCACCCACGCTCCCCCACAGGAAAGGAGAGCAGGGTCTTTGAGCTGTCAGAATGTTGGTGAGCCCTGGGCAGGTGGATATGACTACTGGCAAGAGCACCGAGGTCAGGCCTCTGTTGCCCTGGTCTGTGCACCCTCCAACTACAAGGTCAGGGAGCTTGAGCGAAGTCAGAGGGAAGCCACACTGAAGTAACCAGGACTGGCATCTCTTGGCATCCTTGGCCATGGTCTCCAGACTCCATGAAAAGATCTGGGCTCTGCAAAAAGGCCTTTAACCTCTACCTTCTCCAGACACAACTCAAGTCTGTCCAGTGGAGGAAAGGGCAGAGAAAAGGAAAGTCTAAAGTAGCAGGGAGCCTCTGGAGGCTCAAAGGCTGAACTTCTGGCTCTGAGCTAGGGCTACTCAAGAAGTCATTCTCAGTGCAGGGTCCTTGGGACTCCCTTCTCCTTTCCCAGTCTCAATCCCCTGCTGCTGACTTCTTCCTTTACTGCTAATTCCTCTCCTTCTCTTCCTCAGTCCTCTCCTCTAACCTGGAATAATTCTTCTGCACTGGGATGTGCAGGTCCCTGCTTGGCTTGCTAGTTCAGAGCGCCCCCTCCCCAGGTCTAGCAGACCCTTGGTCCAGGGCAAGGCCCAGCATACACTCCTCTGCCTTTCACTGCACGGGAGGCTCTAAGCGCCCAGCCCTATCCAGGGATGTGTAGTGCCTATTCCCAGGAGGCGTGAGGACAATCTTGACCTAGAAAACCTTTTTCCTTGGAAGCTGGCAGGAGGGTCTCTGGCTATGTGGTGCACCCTAAGGAAAAAGGCCTCGCTGGGGGTGTCAGATACAAACACCATGGATGGGGTGAGATTTGCCGGACCAGGTTAAATTAGCAAGCAGGTGAAAACCAATTCAGACTGCTGCAATTAATTCAGCCTCAGGGCTAGGAGAGGTACATATCTGCGGTGACCCGGACCCTGGAGCTAGAGCGCTGGCGGTGCCCGCAGAGCCATGGCCTCAGCACTAATCTTTAGTGTTCCAACACATGTCGTGCCAGGGACAAACCAAGACCATCCCGAAGCTCTGAGACAAAGCAAAGCAAAATACGAATTGGGCCAGAGAGGGAGCGGGGACCCGTTTGGGTTGGGGAAGGGGGAGGAGGAGAAGACTCGCAAACTTCAAAGGTCGGCCCGGATTTAGGTGAGTTGAGCGCTCTTTGATTCGCTGTCACCTCTTCTTCCCTCCAGGCGCTGGAAATCAGATCCTTATCTCTTGGTCTCCGGAGCCCGCCTGGCGACGCGGAGGCCTCCGCTTGCTCCTCGCGCTGCTTGCCCTATGGAAGGCCAGTGGCGGCGGCCCTCTGGGCTGCACACCGACGGAACCCGCTCGGTGCCCGGGTGCGAGAATCCAACCAACTCGCCAGGCCTTTTTTCGCCTTCCGCCTAGAAGCGGAGAAGGCCCGAGCTGCCTTGGGCTCCGTAGGGGGCCAGGGGAGTTTGCAGCTCCCAGGGCTCTTGGGAGCGAACCTCTCCCGGCTATCTGCCCGATCTTGTTTCTCCCAACACTACATTTATTTTCCTCAGAGGCCCAGCCAGTTTCTTATTTTCTGCCGCATTCCGAGGCCAGGGCTCCCCAGGCTCCCGCCAACGATTTTGCTGGGGACGAAATTCGTTCGAAACGTGGCTCTTTACACTAGTCTCAAAATGGGCCGAAAGCACGATCTGGTTTCAGGCGGTCAGCTAAGAGAAAAACAGAGCCTCACGCTGGCTTCTGCCTGGGAAGATGAGCGAACGCTGGCCTCTCCGGCTCCTGTTTCCCTGACCCCCGATCCCCAGTGCAAACGCTTTCGATCTTTAAACTCAAGAAAGAAAAGGTTTCCCCGGGCCAGGCATCCACTCCGCAAGGAGCTCAGGCTTCTGGACCTAAAAGGTGCGAGTAAGGGTCCCAAGTACGCACAGGAAAGACAATTCGCGCTCTGGATTCCAGGTCCCTGCGCCGCCGCACAGGCTCTGGCGTCCCGGACTCGCGCGAGGGAGCGCCAAACCCGGGTCTGCCGCCAGCCTTATGCTGGGCATTAATGAAGTGTGCAAAGTCTATTAAAGTGGTTTATTCGGGGCTAATTGAGCGTGAGCAAGTTAACTGCTTGCATTAATGAGGACGGAGCGAACTCCACGAGCGTGCGCCTGGAGGAGCCCAGCAGTAACCCAAGAAAATCATCCTTGACATCGAATCCCCAACACGAGTGGTGACAGGCGTCCGGACCCCCGTCGGGAGGACTGACCAGCACCGAATACTTGTGTAGCATTTTCCCAACTAACGAGATCTAAGAAACCCACGGGCGAGGCGGCCATCCCTCTGCACTTAAATGCCCTCTGGGTCCTCTGCGATCTTCTCCCCAATTTTAATGAAACTGCAATTACTTACAGAAGCCTGGGTTAGAACGTCTACCTACGGGTCGCTGCGCGTTCCCTCCAGCCCTTCTCTTCCTTAAGAGGCTGTGAACACGGGAGACTAGCCTTGCACGCGGTTTCCGTTCCCAAGAGCCAAGGCTCAGCTCTTAGCCTGGGTGAAATTTAGCAAATTATGGCAACAAAGAACCCCTCGCAGCTACTTTACGCTCTGAGAGCCTACCGCGCTACCGCCTGAGCTGCTGATGAAAAAAGACTGGACGGTGGTTTTCATTCTTCTTATCAGAGACATTTTGGGAGAGAAATTAGTTCAGCAGGAAGCCCCTCACCTCTTTCCCTCTTTCCGCAGGCTTCTACCTTCCTTCCTGAAGTCTGGGTTAGGAGGCAGTCCGGGCAGTAAAAGAATTCTTCCCTTCCAATCCCCAGCCCGAGTCACTGAGGCTCCATAGTGTTTCCACTACTTCGGCGCTGGGGTCTCGAACTTGGAAGCAGTGCTCTGCATTGCCTCCCCGCACCAGGGCATTGGAGGGTTACACACTGGGCCTTGAGGACACAGAGCAATCATCCTATAGAGAATATTCCTAAATCAGAGAGCAAGTGCGAGGTGGAGGTCGGACACGCAGTCCTGAGCGCCTAAGTCTCCTCGGCCTCGTACCAGAGCGCAACTTCTCAAAAGACAAACTCGCACTAAAGCGCTACCGGGCTGGGGCATGCACCTGTCCCCAGCGCGGTCGGCGGTGGCTGTGGCCATCCACTCACTCTCCCCTCCTTTTTCGTCAGCTCAGTAAGGGAAGTCAGCCTGAGCTAGGAGCGCATCTCGGGAAAGTTTGTGCCCGCCAAAGTTGCTCCAGTTTCTTAAAGGGGGCCCACAGACTGACTTCCGAAGTCCGCGGACACCTCGCCCCACGTTCCGCGGAGCGCCACGCGCTGGCGGCAGGAGGGGAGGCGGCCCGCCCCCTCGCTCCCCCGAGGTCAGAGGCCGAGGACCCCGCGCGGGAAGTCTCTGAGCCAGCAGCACCCCCAACCATCCTGCTCTCACTTTCACAAAGATTCTGCAGCATTCGTTTGGCAAGAGCTTCCTTCCGAGACATTGAGAGAGAGAAGGCACCCGCCGCTCAGTGACAAGGAACCAGGGAGTCCTGCCCGCCTTCCCCTTACTGAGCTCGGGCGCCCGGGGCTGCAGTTACCTGGTTCGGCGGCGGTCCCGGGGCTGAGCACGTCACTGGGGCTTTCGCTGAGGGGACGCGGGAAGCCAGAGGCGCTGAAGCCCACCGGCTCCCCTGGAGCTCTGGAGTCCTGACTCCCTCCGGCCGCGGGGACTCCGGGCGCCCGACACGCGGGAGCGCTCAGCAGCCCCGGAGTCCTGCCCGCCGGGGACAGTGAGCCTCGCTCGCGGCTCCCTCGCCGGGTCTGAACCTGGAGCTGCTGAGAACGTGCTGGGGAGAGGCCGAGCTCCGACTCACTCATCCCTTAGCACCGAGCCGCCTACTTATTTTAATCCACCACCCTCCCTCTCCACCCCCCCCCCGCCCCTTGCCTCAGGATTCCTCCCCTCCCTCCTCTGCCCCCCCAACCCTGCCTGCGCCTGCGCACTGAGACACAAAGTTTTGCTGACCGGGGCAACCGACTTTGGCAGCTGCGCTCGCTTGGCCCCGGCCTCTCCCGACCTGCGTCCCCTCCTCTTCAGTCCCGCGCGATCCTTTCTGTGTTTTTAGGCCCACAAGGGCACGCCTGGCGCGCTAGAGGAAACAGCCTCTAGCAGATGTGAGCGAGCTGTAATCGCGCGTTTCGAAGTCTTACTCTTGCGCCGCTAGGACACAGCCTGCTCCGAGGAGGCGGGGGTGGTGGGCAAGAGCTCTATGCACTGGGATCCTGTCCCCGTAGATTGGGCTGCAGCGCACTTCGGAACCTGGCAAAGTCGCCTCTCTTCCTACAATCTCTTTACAGAGTCAGCGGACCCCGAGTGTGGAGCAGTCCCTGGACATCCAAGCGTGCTCAGGGCCAGGGTGGCAACCCGCGTGCTGGCTAGTTCCTGGTGCGGGGGACCAGGGTCATCCATACAAGCGAGCGATGAAATACCACACAAGTGCCTATGGCTGACCCCAGATCCTGGGTTCTGGAGTTCAGTAAAAAAATCAGATTGTGAGGGAAGGAGGTTAGGACAGTTATTTTCCTGGGACCGAGAACTCTCTGGGATTCGCCCCAATGCATAGTCTCACTCTGTTGTCACATATTCGTTTTAGGATGGAATAGAGTTCAGAGAGTGGCACAGGAATGCCAGGCAAGCTGCAAAGTTGTCAGCTCCAGGGTCTCTGAGTCAAGGAGCTGGTTTTCAGGTGGAGTTTGGAATCTAAAAGGAGCCAGGGTTCTGGCCGTGAAAAATTCTGTCTTCACTGCCTAGGCCTTACTCAAGGTTCCAGTCCCCTTCTGACTTCTCGTCTCCCAGAGCTGACCTCTAGCTGACCCCAACCCAACCTCTCCCTGCTGTCTCTCTGGAACACTGGGCTCTGGTCCCTGAGTTGGGTACAAGAGGAGTCACTGGTTTCCTGGGGGGCTTGAATGGGTCCAGATTCACATGACTGCATTCCCTGCCTTTGCCCCCGAGATTCTGATGAGTGACTCCTGCACACCTTTGAGACTGGACCCTGGCCTTTGTGGGTCTCTAATGTACTGACCCTGGGGCTCTCTAGAGGAGTTTTGACTTAGTTTTTTGAGGAGGGGAGGGTTGTGATCCCTGACCTAGGGAGATAGTCATGGAGACCCTTCTCTCAAGGCATAGTTGAAAGAGACTATCCTTGTATCCCCAGGCCTCTAGAACAGAATCTGGCCTCCAGTCCCTGGGGAATTTTGGCTTATGTGGGGAGGAGGAAAATGGGGTACAATCTTTGCCCCAAGGGACTGCACTCACCCAGTGCCACAGGTTAGTACAGGAGTAAGAGATACAACTTTGCCTGTGTACCTAGAATCTTAGCAGTTGCCGGTATGAGGTGACAACCTAGCCAGATTGAGGTCCCTTGGAACAGAAAGGAGCTGAGATCACCCCCTTCCAAGAGATTTCAGGGCAACAGGTTTCAAGAAGGCCCAGAGGGAAAGTCCAGACAGGGCATTCCTGGACTTTGCTGGCTTCCACTTTGGGCACAGGGAGTGTGTGTGTACCAGCCTCAGGCTCTTCAAGCAGGCAAAGCTTGGGAAACCTCCATTACCAGCAGTGAAAATTTTCCAGAAAAGACACACACCATAGGGCCTCTGGCTGTGCAGAGTACTTAGGAACAGTGGTTGTACATTCAGTTAGTAGTGAGCCTCCTGGAGTTTATATACCTCCTCTCCTGCTCTGAACTCCTCACAGTTCAACTGTGTTTCCTTTACATTCCTGAAACAGGGCCTTTGGCCAACATGCCTCAGAACTTCCAGAAAGCTCCAAGTAGTAGGTTCCCTAAAGAGCTTTTGGCAAGAGAAGGTTCATGATTTTAAAGAAAGGAACATGCAACCTGTTGTTTAATCCCCCTTTTGACAGGTTATCTTGAAAATTGATCCTGACTTAGGTCAAACCCTAGAGTTTAGTGGATGTGGGGCACAGTAGGGAAGCAAGTTTGGCACTGGTCCCTCATGGCCCAGGGCCCCCTGGGGCTTTGCCTCCCAGAGGAGCGTGTGGCCACCTCTGCCTGGAGCTGGTCAGCAAGGCAGGACAGGACAAGGCAAGAACATACCTGGGCCCTGGCACTGATCCCCCTTGGCAAGGGCTGGCCTGTTTCAGATGCTTGACTTGGAAGACACCTTCCTAGTTCATCGACGATGCACAACCTTCACAAGCCAGAATAACGAAATTCAAGAGTTGCTAGGAGCTGAAAAGTCCTCCATCCCACTCTGAGCTCCCAAGGGGATGACTTCCAAACCTTGGCCACAGTCTCCACTGGGGGCCAACTAGAGTCTGGTTTTCCTCTGGGCGGGGTGGGCAGGAAGAGCCCAGGAAGCTAAAGACTCCTCTGTAGCTCCGTGCTAGGGGGATCTCCTCCCCTCCCTCTTTAAGAGAAATTGATCTGACTAAGCAGGGCCGGGGTCTCAGTGCCAGGACCACGGCTTGGATGGATTGAGAAGGGCAGGACCCAGGACATCTAAGGGCAACGAGGGCACTTTTTAGCGAAGTCAGATTTGTTTAGGACCCGTGAGGATATCTTGTTTGGAATTTGGTAAACGCCCTCGGTGGCCAGGACCCAACCATCCTGCCCGCCTGGGTGCCCAGTGAAGGTGACAAAACTCCTGTCTGGACGCCCCGTCTCATTCCTGGGAGTCCAGCGCACTCTGCCACTGGCGGCTGCAGCCTCTGCTCTCCTTGAGCCTGCGAGCTCCAGCCCGCGACCAGAGCGGAGCGAACTCCACCGCGGCTTTCTGGCTCTGGCCAACTGTCTGCCCGGCGGAACCTCAGGCAGCCAAGGGGGTCCTAGACTCGGCTGGGACCTGGAAGCCTTGGGGAAGGGTCCCGATAGAAGAGACCAGGCCTCCAGGTCCGGGTCTTGCGCTCTGCCCTACGCCAGCCAGTCCGGGTGGGGTCTCATAGGGGAGCGATCCCAGGGTCGGCCAAGTGACAGCATTGCACCCGGTTCCACAGCGAGCCCTCCCTGCCGCCTTTTCCTGGACACGCCTGGGATGGTGACCGCCTCTCCTCTTCTCCCTGCCCCAACCCCAGCCTCTCCGCGAATTCCTGCTCACTGGGAAAGAAAGCGCCCCAGTCTCTCTTCGGAGTGAAAATTGAGCAGCTTCCAGAAAATTAACTAGAACGTGGCCTGTATTGCTTTGGGTTGTTTTGGATTTTTTTAAAAAAGTGAACCCCACCTCTCTGCACTCCCTCGGCACACAAAAATGACCTCATTCTTTTAAATGGAATTTACTTAACACTTGTTTTTACTTCAACGCAACTACTTCCTGCAACTACTTTGCGGACAATTGGGGGTCTGCTTATTAGAACACCTCCCTCCCCTTCCACGCATGTACAGAGCTTTCAAATAACTAGGAGATTTAGGTGTCCCTCTGTATTCATTTAGATGATGGATTGTAATGGCTCAATAGTTCCTCTGGAACCATTACGGTCAATCAGGTCAAAATCCAGCTTGGGGGAAAGTTTTTAAGCACGGGAGGCAGGTAACAGGACCTCCACACACATTTGTTCAGATAACACCTCTGATAACGTAGAAGCAATCCAAGGGTCTCAGGAGAATGGATACCAGGTGAACGAGCCGGTGCTTATTGTTGTGACAGCGACCGACAAGTTACAGTAGGGAACAAACTGAAAGGGAAAGTGAACTGTTTTTCAAGCAGTTCCCGGTTCCTAAGTTCCTTATGAACACGTAAGTATCTTGTAACTATTTGTCACCTTAACAAATCTAACAATACACACTGATATATCTACCCTTGGTTTATAAGAAAACTATTACGAAGGGAAGCGCGAATATGCGCGCGGAGTTGCACGCACGCCGAGAGTACGAGCATCGGTAAAAATGGGATGATAATGCCTGATGTGGCGAGGATCAAATGTAAAATGTGT